TAATTCAGCTTTTGACACCGTCTACACAGCAGGAAAACTCTTCCTTCAACTTCTCTTATTCCTCATGAAATGAAGGTTACAGGAGTCGGAGTAAGAAGTCCTCCAGCTTTGCCATTATTTTGAAATAATGGCTTGCTATGTAGACACACTCTTTGTTATTTCGGAATAATATCTGTTATTCTAAAATAATGCTGCTATGTAGAAATAGCCTATGGTTCCACAGGACTACTTGTTGTTTTTTAAAGACATAGACTAACGTGGCTACCTCTGAGATTTTTTAGCAAATAACTAGGGTTTTAGTTAAGTGAACATTCCAGAAAAAATAAAAATAAAAATCATGAACTAAAAGTTAAACAAAATTGTTTCAGGTTGAACAAAACATTTAGTTTCACTTTCCAAGTAATTTAGTTTCATTTTCCAAGTTTCAAAGAGGTTTTAATTTTTTTTAATTAAAGTGAAATATATTTTAAAACAAAGACTAATTTGAAATTAAAAAATGAAGCATTTCATTTCCAAAATAATGTTTCTATTTTTTTTTATTCCACATAATGTGGAAAATTCTGCATGAATTCACACCGTGTTCTGATCTAGCTATATCTGTATTTTTTGACAAAAAATGTTCTTCCAGCTCTACTAGTCATAACTCCCTCATTCATATCTCACTGAAGTAAGTCTTCAAACAATTGGCATTAATGGGAACTGGATCAAATCCTCAGTATATACAGGCTGCTAGATCAGTGCACAGGTTTAACTCAGAGATAAGACAAGAACATATTTTTGGTGTTACTCCTTTTTGAGAGTTTTTAAGTTGCAGGATCACTGAGCAGTTGAAGCCATTGCATTTTGGCAGTGGTGCTATTAGCTGTTTACTCAGTTAACAGTAGACTTAAAAATAACACTACACTGTCTCGAGAATTAATAACAATATCCAATATATTTATTGTCTAAAAGTTCTGTTACTGGGCCCAGATTTAATTTTACTGCACAGGCATTAAAGTCACTAACATTTCCTTTTAGCACCAAGTACATCTTAACATAATATGACCCAACATTCTTCTCAGCAAATCATTTATAAAATGCATGTCTGAAAATTCTGCCTGTGATCACTTTTCTTGTACAGGTTGAACCTCTCTAATCCAGAACTCTCTCATCCAGAAACATCCATCATCCAGAATGATTTTAGTTAGCCAGACACCTACTTTTCATGAGTGTAGCAAAGTTTCCTGCGATCCCATAAAGTTTGTTTACATCAGTCCTAACTCTCAGTGTTCTGTGCTATTATTTAGCTCTAATTTACCCCTAAATGTCCTCTAACAGGACAATAAGCCGTGGAAATGTTGGTAATGCTTCTAGACATTATTGATCTCCCATGATCCAGAAAATTCTCTCATTCGGAACCGGTTAGGTCCCGAGGATTCCAGACTAGAGAGGTTCAACCTGTACACTCTTCTCACCAACAACTGGAAACTTAATCCTCAGCTGTTTGAAGCATGAAGAGAAGCTGAGCAATACAAAACCCAAGGGAATCACACTGAGGGGAGTCAGATTGTTAGTAAAAATACATTGATCAGTGGTCAGCCATTTAATTACATTTCAGTCTTGGCACACTGACCAATATTAAGTCAGCCAGGTGCGTTCTGTGCAATCCACCTTCTAAACAAGAACACATCAGGTTATTGAGTGTTACCAGCATGATTCAAATAGATCACATTCCAGTTATATTTTTTCAGGAACTCAAGCACCAATTAGATTTGTCTGAGCCCCTAAAAATCATAGTGATCGGGATCATCTTCAGAAAACATGAATGCATCAATATAATTTGCAGTCAGTGGGCTTGAGGAATGACTAAAGGATGTGGTTCTTACCTAGGTCTCAATATTTTAATATGGAGAGCATGAAATTGCATGAGGAATGTAAACTCAAGAGTAGAGTCTGGAAGAATTTCCAGATCCAACTCAAATATATATTTTGGATGTGTGCAGTGGTAATAGCTTTGCCCTCTCGAACGACTGTCTTCAGATATTGCCACTGATCCCCTGCATGGAGAATATCTACTTGATACACACTTATGCATCGTCAGCATGATTATAGGGAAAAAAACAAATTTTGCTCTGTATTTTTTACTCTGTGTCTTCCTAATTTGACTATACTATTTGAAGAGGGATAGAGCAAAACTCTGTAGCAAACAATTCCTCCTGAGCAGGAGATAAAATGGATTACCTAAAGTGACAGCTTTTCTGTCTCTAATTTCTGTTATTTATGATTTTGGATGTTTTGTTTTGTGTGTTTTTTTAATCTCTAGCCTAAATTCTTCTTCCTATATCACTCAGACACACATATCAATATTTACATGGATATTTATTGTGAATGAAATCAACTAAAAGAGTTTCTAGAGGAACTAAATGATTTTAGAGTGTAATTTGTCCTCATATTGTTCTCCACTAATTCCTATATCTAATGATCTGTCCATACGAGCATGAGAGCTACCATGCTAGGTTAGACTATAGTCCATTTTGTCCAACATCTAACCTCTGATTGTGACCTATACCAAGACTTCAGGGTACGTGTACAAAATAGGACAATTATAGACTGATCTGCTCATCTTGCAGTTCTGGATTCCAGAAGTCACAGTTTTAGGAGTTTCATGAGAATGGGGTTCTATCCCTAATTCACATTTATGGACCTATCCTCTATGACTTTCTCCAGTTCTTTTTTTCAACCCAGTTTTACTTTTGGCTATCACAACATCTCATGACAATGAGTTCCACAAGTTAGTTGCATGTCGTATGAAAAAGAACTTCCTCTTATTTGTACTAAAGTTGCTACCACCTATTCATTTTGTCAGAAAAGGTAAATAAGGCTTTTCTATACACTTTTTTCATACCATTTGTGATTTTTATAGACTATTTCATATCCCGCTTAGTTGTTTCTTTTCTAAGATGAACAGCCCTAATCTTTTTAGTCTCTCCTTGTCTGGGAACATTTCCATACTGTTTGATCATCTTTGTTACCCTTCTCTGAATCTCTTTTCAGTTCCACTATAATCTTATTGAGGAGGGGTGAGCAGAATTGAACACAGAGCTTTCTTATCACTCATAAAAACTCAGTGATGAAAGAATATCTGTTAGAATAATGTTGAGTCCTAATTGATTGGGATGATACCAGATTGTTCCTACACAGTAGTAAATTATTATTTTTAGTGCTCACTCAACCATGTTCTGTTACAAAATCCCATCACAACTGGAACTCTTGCCACCCTATAACTAGCTGTGAAATACTGCTTTTTCTCAAAATTTTCTAACACTGACACGGGCTGAGTTACAACTGCCTGATTTGTCATGATATCCCAGTGTGGGAAAAACAAAGGATTAGTCTGCTCTGCTACAGTCTGTTGAAACTATTGGCTGAAATTGACATTTCATGGTGAGATTTGTTTTTGAACGTCTTTGTCATATTTTTCTGAAGTCTTTTACTGCAACGGTTTTCTTTGGCTGTCAAAGTTATTTTAGTAATAAGTCTCTTTTCTTTTCACCAACTCTGGTAACTATAAAATGCAATGTTTGCATCAGTAAATTGACTTACACTGCTACCAGTAAATTTACCATTGAAATCTCATTCAGAAAACACCCATACCCCATAAGTGCTATTCACAAATTAAAAGAAATATTTCTGGAAGATAGATGCACTTAAGCTAGGTACATATAAGAATGCTAGAACAAAAATTAAGTCAATCAGTTTTACATTATAGTTGGCTATGGTGGAGCTCCTACCATTATGAATTTGTTTCTGCTTTCCAAAGTCCATGAACAAAATAAAGAAGCTGTAGGCACTTTAAACTTAGATGGAAAGGAAATGTTCTATGTCTTTTTTTTAGGTAACATAATTCAAACATGTACACAAGCTAATGCCTACACATATATATCCATGAGGTCTACAAATAATATTTTAAATGTCTTAAGCAGTGAAATACTAGTAAATGTATTGCTGATTCTTCACACTTTCAGTGTCATTTCCTGATCAGCCCTGTTGTAAAATCAGTGCAATCACTTCTACTAAAATATTACAACAGAGTTTAATAAATGCAGTTATTTGTAGTGGGTTAAATCTTAACAACCATATGCTGTTTTTATTCAAGTAAAAGTACCATGGAAGTCAATGGGACTACAACATACAAAATTCTAAGAGCCAAATTCTTAAAGCCTTTACTGAGGTTTTATTCAGTCCTTACTTATGCAGCGTGTGCATTGACTTCAGTAAAGACTTTTAACGGGGAAGAGGCTAAGGACTTCAAGATATAGCCCCAAATGAAACCAGGAGGCGTTTTAGTTGAGGAAGGACTGAGCAAAAAAATGAGCGAGGAAGGATTTTTTTTACCATCACCATAATTACCACCCATCACTACTACAAAAACAGCAAGATAGTTTTAGTGCCCACTGACACTGCAATGCTAAGGAGACTCAATGGCAATTTCAGAGCAAGCTGAAAAGGGTCTGCTTCTAATATCCTTGCTCACACTGAGTGGTACTTTATGAAAATAAGTATCCCCATTGATTTGACTGCACTTATTCAGGAGATAAAAGTACTATTTAATGTCAGTAAAGGTGACACAATTAGGTCCCAAAACATCATTAATACATTATTATAAAAACAACCCTCATCCAAGTAAGGGGCAGATGCTGACCACCTTACTCACAGTAAGTATAGTGTGTTATCAATGGGTCTATTTAAAGTTAGTGAGACTGGCTGCTCTGTCCCTAAGAAAATGCAAATAGAAGGAGCATTCTTAAAGACAAGCTAGGGCTGGAGGCAAGTTCAGGGCAGGAGAATGAAAACATTTATTATTTTAATGCTCAACAGCTTTTGATTAGAAGAGGCTAGTTGCAGTTTCAAAAGGGGGGGAGCAGTTATGGGTGTTGCGTGGGAGTGATTCCAGTGTACACTTCTGTTCTCTTTTTATCCCCAGTGGTGCTAATTTACAAAGGAAGTTTAAAAAAACTTACCTCATTTAGCTGCTGATTCTGAAGGGGAAATCCTTTAGCTGAGGCAATGAGAATGCTGTCTAGAGAATGGCAGGTATTAAGTAAACACAGGTGCTAGGTTAGCACTTCAAAAGTCTCACAGGAGTGATGATAAATGGATGTGATATTAATTTTAAAACATTTTGCAGAACATTTAGTTAGCCAATGGGGGAATTCCTTAAGTCATTTCCTGTTCTTTTGATTGGGTCTGCAGCAGTAATGAAAAAAAAATGCAAACATTTGCATACAGTCAACTCACACACCTTAGTGATCAAACAAAACAGGTCTAACCAGGTTATACATGTGTCTCAACAACAAAAAAGAAACCGGTCAATGGATGAGGTATTGACTGATCTACAGTTGTTTTTTAAAGACCATCCTGCCTCCTATCTATCTATCTATCTATCTATCTATCTATCTATCTATCTATCTATCTATCTATCTATCTATCACAAAAAGCTATTTCAGGTAATAGGTGGCTTATAATTAGAACAAAGAGAAGTCAAAGGTAAAAATGTCCAAAACTTGGGACATTTAAAATTAAATTGGAAGTAACAGTGGAAAATATACTGTGGGGAATAAACATATGTTGGCAGGAAGATAGACTGGATGATCCAAAATCATGGGCTAACTTCTCCCTTCACTTATGTTCAGTGAACATAACAGGGCTGCACATGTGTTAAGGAGATTTGAGTCCATTATATAATTTTCACCTCTAAGTTTTGTAAATATCTGAGTGAAGGGAAAGGTCATGAGAGAACATTCTGGAGCAAGGGCATGCTTATATGTGCAGGAGGGTGAACATGCATGTACAGTAATTCCTCATTTAACACTTTAGATATGTTTTAGAAAATGATTGTGTTAAGTGAAAACATGTTATGCGGGGTCAATTTTCCTATTGAAAATAATGGAAAAAGTGCGGGGTTGCATTTCAAGTGGTGGTGTCAGTTGGGACCCGGACATAAGGTTGGGGGAGAAAGGGGACTGGGTTACAGCAGGGAGTGGAGGTGTTTGGCTCTGGGGAAGGGAAGAGGAGGAGAGGAGAGGGGGATTGGGTTGGGAGTATGCCCCTGTGATGGGTCTGATGGGACCCGCACTGCGTTCGGTGAGGGGGGGGTCACCGGGGACTGGCGTGGCAAGCAGCAAACCCTCCACCACTTTGCAGGGTGGCGGGGGAAGCCCCGCACAGCTGCCAGCGACGAGCTGGCTGAGGAAACCCAGCCACCGGCCTGAAGGCGGGGGCGGAAGAGAGGGGGCAAGGCGTCCGGCTAGGGGGAGTCAGCGGGGAACGGCACCTCGTTCCATGAGGCGTACAGCTAGTTCGGATTAGAAGCCTAATCCGAACTAGCTAGTCAGTGCCACGTCTAGTCGCGCGGCATGTGGTTCGAACTAGCCGGCATTTAAAAATGGCGCCGGCTGGCTTCATGCAAATGAAGCCCGGGAAATTCAAATCCCGGGCTTCATTTGCAACTGCGGATGACTACATTACCCCCGCTAGTTCGAACTAGCGGGGTAGTGTAGACATACCCATAGGAACTTTCCTAACTCCCAGGTATATCCCCTAACCACTGGGCAATGGGATATTCTGGGGTGGAGGCCTCTTAATCTCTCTTGTGGAAGCGATTCCATTTTTGTATAAAATACCATCACTCCCTCTTCCAGCACTTGTGTTTTGTTCAGGGTAGATGTGCTCCCGCCATATGTCTATTCTGTTCCTGAAAGAGAGACTCCCAGTCTGCGTAACCAGATCGACTTGAGCTAACACATGAAACATAGCCATGTGGTCACTGTGGCTCCGACAGAGATGTGGGCTGGCCACCCAAGCTCAGACCCCAGGTTGGATAGGCTTGAGAGCCCAAGCTGCCAGCCTACCTTCCACATCTATGCTACTTTTTTTAGCAGGCTAAAATACATTGGTTGAAAGCAGTTTCTTCTTTTTTACAAGTTAGCAAAGTGCAATGGTGGATACCAGCTATGAGGAGGGGTGAGACAGATCTGTATGCTTCTCCCCCAGGGACCACTGCTCATGGTGGGAGGGTGTCTCAGCACTATAGTAAACATTTGCTCAATTCCAGCCTGGTAGCCCCACGCCTGTAAGACTTCTGGTCAGACAAAAAGCAGTGGTCTGCACAGCCAAAGAAATCCCATGCCATAAAAGAAGCAGCATTGAATGTGCCCAACAGAAAATGGGATGAGGACTGGGTTAGCTGTGTCCTATTTTGTGTTTTGTGACTTTGTTATTTTGTATTAATAATGGAGACACAGTGAAATTGGGCTGATATCTGGAGAGCCAGTGAACATGAGGACTGGGCAAACTGGATCCACCAGGAAAGGGGTGTTTTGAAGGCAATATGTGGCAGCCCTATTACAGTCAGTCATGCAGACACATATATTGATAGTGGAAAAACGTGCTAGACTGATGTTGGTGAGGAAATCTCAGTGGAGTTCACTCATGGACTGCAAAGAGATAACAAGCAAGACATTAGTGCTACAGCCCAAGCCCTTTGAGGAAAAGGTTACAGTCAGGAGCGGCCCTAGACAAGCTGCTGGCAACTGGCGCCCTAGGAAAAATGCACGATTGGTGCCCCTGCCTACAAAGCCCTCAACGGCCGTTTATCTTGGCGCCCTAGACAACCGCCTAGTTCACCTATATTGACGGGCCGCCACTGGCTACAGTAGAGCATTGGACAAGGAGAGAAATAAGCTGTAATGAAACAAGATTAAAGTACAGGAATTTAAGGGGAAGTGTGGCAGAGAAGTTTATGCAGTTAGTACAGGAGCAGTATCCCGAAACAGATTTAACACCAGCCGAAAAGAAATGGAACCACCGCAAAGGAACATGAATTAAGATAATGGAAGAATTTTGTTGGGAAACCAAATGAAACAAGAGTAGAGGTGGCCAAATGAAATGCAGGTAGTAATCTGAAACAAAGAAAGAAAGAAAGGTGTGTAATAGAAATGAACCCATGGAGTGCAAATAAGAGCAAATATAAAGAAGTAAAGTGAGCGGCCAAATGAGCAGTGAAGAAGGCTAAAGAGAATGTCCTAGACGAGCTTGTTTGCTACTCACAGTTCACTGGCAAAAAGATCTATGAGATGCAGAGAAGGATGTTATTACAATACCATTTATAAAGGATGAGTAGGGAAGACTTCTAGTAACATCTGACCAATGAAGGAGAGGTGGAAACCATATTGTGAGAGTCTTTTAAATGAGGCTGTGATGGGATCCCAGGGATACAACCTGGAACTGTGTGGGACCTCTAGGCTCACTAAATTATCCAGCTTGGGCTCTCTCACAATGATATGCTAGTGACACGCAACAAAAATACCCCCAGATCTGTGATCAACATCTGGAGCCACACACCCAGCCAAAATTGCCTGAATGCTCTCTGAGCCATTCATGAATCATACAGAGAGAGACATCAGTCACTCACCCCAATCCTCAACTTTGCATCCCAGAAACATACCATCCTACGCTGCTCAAGATTCTCTGGGACAGTGCAAACTCATTAATAATTCACCCCTTCTTCAAAGGGAAGTGGACATGCACCAGCCTTTGTAATTTGAGCTGAGATTCCCCAAACACTTCAACAAAAATGCATTTTTTCGGTAAAATATAAAACAGACACATTAACTAAATAAAGATGTAAAGTGATTATAAGTAGCAGGCATAGAGATTGGAGTTGGTTACCTAAGAAGTAAAAATAGAAATACAGTCTAAAGTCAAACTTAATCTGTTAAAGTTAGAATCAAGCAGCCTCTCATCCTAACAGATGTTACAGACAGCTCACTTTTCCTCAATACACACATCGGACTCCCTTTCAGACTGGGACCATTTTCCCTGGTTCAAAGTCTTTGTCTTCCAGACAATCTTCCAGATTTGAGAAGGTATTATGCTTAAAAGAAGCACACGGGATCTTTTTCAGGGGGACATTTATTGACAATATAACAAAGTAGCATACGTATTCACAAACACACACACACACACACACACACACGCAGAGCTGATGGAATAGTATCAGTCTGTTGCTCGGCCCAACCTATTGGCCAGATAGGTCAAGTATGAGGGGGGCTGCTGGGTTCTTGTCGGTCCAGACTGATGCTCCATGATCTTAGCAGGACAGGAACTCAAAGAACCATACAAGTCACCCCATCTTTTACAGGATTTTCCTTCCATGCGAGTCTATGCAAATGAGGTGAGGCAACCCCGCACTAGCTGCTTCCCCTGAGCAGACCAGGGAGACACGGAGCGGCTTTTCTCAGCAGACACCTCAGCTTGAGAATAAAGGACTGAGGGAAGTGAGGTGTGGGAGAATAAAACTGAGCTCTGAAGAAATGTTTGGCTAGAGTTTCCCCTACAATATGTACCAGTTCTGACTTACATACAAATTCAACTTAAGAACAAACCTACAGTCCCTATCTTGTACGTAACCCGGGGACTGCCTGTATAGCGGATTCTGCGTAGTACTTTGAGGTTCAGAATGTCACAGAAGCAAAGCTCTTTTTGGAAGAGTTGCCAGCATGTGATCCTAATGTGGTTCCTAAGTCTGACATTGGAGGAAGAGGTGAGAAATTCAGTCTAGATAATGAAGAATGATCAGACAGCAGGACCTGACAAAATGATGGTAGATCTGATGAAGTCCTGGGTGAGAGAGGCATAAAATGGATGTGACAAGAGAATTCCCAAAGATTGGCACAAGTATCTCTTGGCCTTGATATGCAAGAAGAGAATGATCCATGAAAGCAGAAATTATCAAGAGATAAAGTTACTCTCACACAGGATGAAGATATTGGAATGCATCTTGGATTCTGACATGAGGAGAATTGTGAATCCTTCCTTGAACAAGCTTAGGCAAAGTAAGGTACCACAGATGCTGTGTTTTTAATTTGGTAAATGACATAGACGCAGCTAGAGTGCCAACAGGATTTCTGGGTTCATATAAAGTGTAAGGGAGGTTATTCACAACAGTGCTAACAAAATATCGAGTTGTCTAAGAATCTAATAATTGTGGTGAATGTTCTACATACATCACCAAACAATGATTCAGACATAATTTTGGAATTCCAACCTCCTTTTATGTGTAAGTTGGATTGCATCATGGGTTGACCATCAGTCCACT